AGTGCACCCTTAAAACGTGACGATAATCAATGGCTTCGGCGTAATTTTAATCAAGTGAAATTCCAGTAATTAAGGCAGTTGTAGCATGTTCCCGAAAGCGATTTCAAAATGATGCTCTGAGAAATATCCTATACGTTCTTAGCCGCGCTGTTTGGTTTGCTTTAGAAAATTGTTGTTACTGCATGTATCTTATCCTTTTACTTTCAGTATTCCTTGAGAGTAAGGTCCAGTACCTGGTCTTAAGGTGCCGAAGACTGCGTTCTTCCATGACGTATATGTCATTTGATTGACAAGACCTTGTGCGAAATGTGCGCTGTTCCCAGGAGTGTTGTCTTTGGAAGAAATGATAAAAACTCAGTGGCAAGAGGCCCATTCAAGAAAATCAAAGCTTTCCTTTTTTGTGTTCAAACAAGAATAAAACAGTACCACGAACATTTAAATGGTCTGTATGGTCGAGTTAAAACGGAAAAGGGTTAAGTGAGGATTTTTTATCGTTTTACTTTAGAATTATGGAAAACAAGGGAAAATTTGCAAGAAAATCGAAAACGAACCTAAATTTTTTCGTGTCAGTGTAAAAATATTTCAATAACGAAACAACGATTGTAATTTGTCTGTGTTGTTATCAAGTTTATGCAAACAAGTTTAGAAGGAACACAGACCATCAATGTCATTGCCCTCTAATCGCATTGGTTGGCAAAGTTTTGCTGAAATGTCAAGCTTGGTTGCATCATTTGCCCCTTTTCACTTCTGAAGAGGCTTGTCTTTACATTTAGTATATGGAAGTATAGTTTATTTATTTGGTGTTTTATAGCGGAGTGAGATTTTCACAGTATTTTGCACGCGATGGTCATATAGTTTTACCAGTCACAGGTATACGCAAAAGACAGAAAGAGCAGACCCAATTGTGGGAAGCATTATTATTGTATTAAAAAATTGTAGCGTTTTGTTTTGACAGTGTCTCAAGGTTAATGCTGATGAGCGAGCACTGAATATGTTGGGGTGTATTTTTTTTTTCTTTGTGTATTTTTTACAACTGCTCGGAAGGTCAAAGATCGTATGCACGTCGGGAGGTTAATTTTTTTGTAGAAACTTAATTGTTGAAAGATGATAGTTGTGTCAAAATAGTCGTGTTGTAACAAAGTATCACGTGAAAACTTTTTGGTGCCTTGACGTTGGTCTTTCTATTATCCACTTTTCATGGTACAGGTGAAAATCATAACATAAGACTATTGATCATTGCGTGGGAGGATGGACGCAAGGAATCGTTGGGAAATATTTGAGTGTTCCAACATCGTGGTTCAGTTGACTAATAATGGCTGCATGCGTAGTATTGATTTTTGTCAGCAGGATGCCCGACCTTTCCGTTTAATTAGCAACACTGACAAGATAAATTGGCTGATGCAGAGGTCAAAGGAGGGCCACGCCACTCCCTTCAAAAGGAGGGGATTCTTTTTGTGAAATTTGAGATTTTGAATATTTGACAATGTTTTCTGTATCATTCCCCTTTCAAAAGTGTATAAAAAGGCCTAAAAGAGCAACAAATGGTTGCGCACAAATTTCAATTTTGGGACTCCAAAACACAATTTTGACTAAAGAATAACTTGGTTACGAATCCATCCCTGACGCACGATTTTATAGCGAATGAACAATAACTTAAAAGCTATTTGGATATTATAGGTGTAGCATTCCAACTGAAAGATATCTCCTGCAATTACTTCAAGTTCGGATCACGTGAGCCCAATGTGCGGGGATAATGATAATGCAGCATAAAGAGACTTACAGTATCATGCGCTTTATAAGAACTGTTTATTATTTTCAAGTTGACCTCTTTCTGGTCAGACATCACCCATGTATTGCGTATGTTCACATTGTACTTTTTGTCTGGGATTCGGTTGTATGTTTGTGTTTTGCAATAGCAACCCATTCGCGAATGGACCCGGAGTTCGCTTGGACAATCGGACCTGGCTCACGACTTGGATGCGGTGGATTCTGTGATATTAATAGAGACTTTTGAGATGGTGAAGCGCCTATCGTGTAACGTGACGCCCTTATTGCACACTCAAACAACGACCTCAGACGTCACAACAAACTGCTCGATTTGTGCAACCGATTGGTGTATGGTCTTGTATTAAAACGAAATGTTCAACAAACGACCAGTGGCTACACACCTAAACCTATTATGGCATACTTATGAGTAACACAAGCAAATAAAGACGGTAGCAATAATTATTCAAGATTGGTAGTCTTGGGAAAGGGTAGTCTTTTCAAAGGTCCCGAGTCTCATAACTGACATTCTAAGAGCTATACAATATTTTGCTGACTCAGAATAAATTCATATTTTTTGGCATTTCTTTTTTTAAAGATTCTATTCCCGCAAGTGCAAATTCTCCAGGAAATCACCTACTTACCATGAAGGCTGCCCTCGTTGCATTGTTGTTCCTGTGTGCTGTAGGTGAGTCGTGCGCTCATGCACTTACTATTTGACAAATTTCTTGCGACCGTGCAGTAATACCTCAATCTACCGTTGAATGGAAATCCTGTTTGACAGCGCAACTGCGGCGGCGTAAATTGGTCTTAAACTAATTCACTGATTCTCCAAACAGATGACGGGCATCTTCAGGCAGTGTGCTGATCCGAGTAAACCATAATCAGTATAATCTAAGCATCACCTGTCTCTGCCAATCCGTAGTCTTAACATCTTTGGTGTCCCTTCGGTGCCGACATATTTTATCAGTGCACCACCGGTTGTACTACTTACAGTGCTCTGTGTGTACGAGACACGGGCGTCGCTAGACCATTTCGAATGGGGGATGCCACATGAAATTTGCTGACGGACCGTCACCCACAAGAATGTACTGTAGTTTGATCGCTAGTCCGACACCTACTTGCTACTTGACATTTTGTTTTAATTTTGAGGACAGACCATTATTTTGCCGCCAAAACTAACTTAATGCATGGGGGGGGTGACACCCCTTGACACCCCCCTCTAGCGACACCCGTGGAACAAAATACATGTTTAATGTGACTTTTCATCTCCTTGCGTCAAAATACAGGTAGCACCTTCGCCGTGGAATGCTATTCTTGTAGCTACACCACTGGTTTGGGAAGCGACAAGAGCTGCGCAGACCCTTTTGGGTCCGGAAGTGGGGTCTCGAAGGTGACCTGCAATGGACAGTGCACGGTCAGTACAAACCAGTTTACTGGCAGCGCGTCTATGCGATGGGCCTCTCGGATCCAAATTTGACCTCAGATCGGATTGGCGTTGTTTAGTTGGATTCTGATCGGATTGATCATCTTACCCCTAATGCCATAAAATCTGATTTTTTTTCGAATTGTTTTAAAACACATTAGTTCGATGGACGTCGAAAACTGAGTAAGACACATGTATTTGAGAAAGCAAAATTCCTTTTTTCTACTCTTTCTCTTCATTTTGTGACAGAAATCGTCCAGCAAAAAGGACGGTGAAGCCCTCAGCGTAACCCGTGGCTGTTCGGAGCTCTGTGTCGATATTGATTGTCAGACTGTTCTTGGTGTTGAAGTATGCGCCAACCTGTGCTGTGATGGTAATCTTTGCAACGGCGCAGGCCCGGTGACCTTTAGCGTGGTCGCCATGGCTGCCATGGTTGCTGCTGCACGGGCCTTCTCTTTTTAAGGTGACCTCACCGTACAAACGCACGTTCATGTGGTTGCCTTAGGCCCTCATCACGTTATTAATGTGTATAAAGATTTACTCATCTTGAATAATTAAGTGTAGATCAAAGTACTTGCTGAGGAATACCCTATGCGTACAGACCACTGCTGCTCAGAAAAAAAGGTGAGTTTACAAGTTCATTCTCGGCTACATACAAGGTGACACGAAAACATTTGGTGACCAGTGTCTACACAATCAATTGTCGTGCAAATACATAAATAAGATTTTACCCCAAAAGACGAATCTTTTAAAAGAACAAAGACTGTAGTTTGGAACTGTCCGTATAACTTAAAAAAACAAAGTGGTTTCCATGGACGTTCTATTTAGGTACGTCCTTACTAGATTTTTTTCAGCCAGTACGTGCGCAGGGTATTCCATATGAAGCATTTTATAGTTTTAAAACTTTGTCAATGTTTAACTAAAGAATCAGTACTCGGACAATGTACACATATTGTCTAAATACACAAGTGCCTAAGTTTTGCAACCTAGGACCAATTGCAAGACCAAAAATTAACCAAATATTTAACGTCATGTTCAAGAGTCAAGATTATCAGTGACAACAAAAAAATGTTTCGCAAAACAGCATTTTGAGCGCTGAAGATTCTAATGTAATGATTGTAAAAATGCAACTTTCCAATAAACTAATAAAAGAGCTGTGCGCTGAAAACTACATCCTGTTACCGGATGCGTTGAAAAATGAGCCTGGATAAGTCTTAGACTTAAGGAAATTGCTTACCACCCAACAACATTAACATTTAATGTAATTTATTTAGTTATTATTTTTTAGTTATTGATAGGGCGGAGTGAAGGTTGCAACCCTTGAGTTTAAAGCGGGATAAACCGTGATACCGACATGTTTGGTCTTTGTGCATGGGCCTATATTGATTCGTTGGCAATGTGATAATCTTATGCTGTGGACTCATAAATAGTTCATATAAACACCTCTCTCATTCTTTCTTTGTCTTGTTTTAATCAGTTAGCTTATGTACTGCTTGATAGGCATTTAGGTTCTTGGCGTGTAGCTTTTGCCGAATAGCCGACATATTATTCAGCAAGTCAATATAAGTGATCTTGCTGCAGCATACTCTTATAAACGGTCATAAAAGGTGAAACGAAAGGGTAGCTTCTGTTGGAAATGACAGTTTCAGGCAAGCTTGACAATAGCCTCGATACAAATATATTAACGTTCTATTACCGAGGGACAGTTTGTTATATATTCATGCAACAGTTTGCAACAGTTTCCAGTGACCAAATATTAACATGTTTTGGAGTTCAATCACTTGTATTTCTCCTGCTGCTTTTGTAAATGTAAGAAACTGATGCTGCTACAAATAAGATTTCATATGTACTGGATCGCGGAGTGTGTTCATCAGTTGGTTGCTTCTTCGTGTCCTGGGGTGTTTGAAGTTTTTAGTAACGTCTGTCAATGCTTCATTCTGGATTTCACTTGGTAAAGTGTTGGACATTTGTTCGGTTATGTGAATTCGTTCTCGGGCATGCAAATGTAGAATTCGATCATCCATAAGTCTTAACAGATGAAAGTTTGTCTACAAGTGACTTGAGCTGTATTAATTTTAAAAGACAACTCCATCATACATAGATTAGCAACGGAAGATGGGTGATAGAAAGGCAGCTGCACATACCGAGGTGAATCTGCTTAACTTTGCAGTGGAAATGTCTGCAGTGGTGATAAATCACTCGTAACAAGCGCAGTCAGTGTTGACCGTAGTCAAATCTAAGGCTTAAATCACCATACGTACCGAACTCAATAAAAGTGGCTTCACAAATTTCCAGATTATAAATAAACAAACACAGATAAGCATTCAAACATTTGGAAAAAAAGTTGTCTCAAGATGGAAAGATATATACTTAGTGGGGAATTATAGAATTTTTTGTTTAATCTCTCAATCGAAACTGTTAAATTGTCAATATTGGCGTTATCTGTTTTGAAGACAAACAGAAACATAAAAAGGATCCTGAAAACCGCAAAAATATCACAATAGGGACTTTCTGAATCAAATTCCATACGGTGCTCATTAAAACAATGCACAAAGATTTTTTGGAGAGGAAAACACTTTATAATGTGCGAACAAAGAGGAAACTTTGAAAAGATCAGAACTCGTGAAAATGGTGTAATAAAGAGGCAAACATTTAAAAGAAATTATTATGGCCTTCTTCACAATCATAAGTGGACATTGAACTTTCGAAAACCGTATGCCTATGTTGACAAATTCGAAAAATGACACTTTTGTGTCTCACTCTTTACACAAATACTGCAAAATTGAGGCTTCTCTGTTCAAAATACGAGAACTAAATGAGCCAAAAGAATGCCATGAAATGAAGATGAATTATCCTTGGGAAGAATGAAGTGACCATCAAATGAAACAGAAAGCACATACACAAATGGAATACTCATAACAACAAAAAGAAAAGCGAGGAACAGTTGTCGGAAACCATTTAAAAATGATTAATATTGCTACAAAGTTGGCTGGGAAAAATCTCAGAACGGTCATGAAAGCTAGTAAAAAAGATTTTCTCCAACATTGATAAACATAATACACCATCTCTATTAGCACTTAAAAAAGTGTCAAAGCACGACGTAGGATAATTGTGACTGCAGGCTAAGCATTTTCTAAAGCAGTCTCAAAGTATGTTTCCAACAGTTATTTCACAGGGAAGACGCCGCATTTTGCCCTTAGGTTGCAGGTTGCTATAAAGTACCACTGTATCCTGTATAGGGAAGTGTATATATTATTTTAAGAACTGATGAATTACCATTCATCAGTGGTAATACAACTAACGTTTTGTACTCAGTTGAGTCGTCCTTGGAGTTTGATACACCGCTGAGACCGATCACATCTGAATAAGAAAATCAGGCATGCAACTTTGCCTGGGATCAGCAGATTTCTTGTTTTTCACTTCAGACACATTGACAATTGAAAAACTGTACAGTCTTAGAAAGATGGCAATTTGTTAGTCTTTTTAAATTCAAAATGGCATGCCTGGAAAGTCCATTATTACTGGGGGGGTCATAATTCTAGGTCTGGTCAAAGTCTTATGATAAGGGAGGCTGTTGACTACGTTTGAATTTTGATACTATTATTAAAAAAAAACGCCGTTGGAAAAGTTGCAATTTAAAATTCTACATAAGGGAAACTGCGGAGTGGAAATACGCTACCTGAAATAAATGCCCTAAATAATTGTACTTGTATGCATGTATGGAAACACAGCTAATCAATATTTAAGTACCAAGGCACCGTACTGGTATGCCTGTTTGGTTGCAATGAACACTTTCTTTGTAATCTTCTTAATTAAAGCATTGCAATTCTTTGGTGATTGTCTTCACTGAAAAACAGGATGTTTATTTTGTACCGTGACCTGATTTTTTGTCACACATATTTTAGGACTTAATTCTTGGTGGGATTGCCTGTGTAGCCGATGGTAAATTCAGCATAGATTTGAATGATGGCATTCACTCACAAACAAATCTATCAGAAATCTGTGAAAATCTTGTCATTCATTTACCCCAAATACACATTTTACATCCTGCTTTGTTTAAAGAGCTTCTGCAAATAAGCACAGGATGGCATTTCCTTCTTCCCCTGGATAGGCAAGAATGGATCTCTTTTAGCTGTATTGCCGTTGAATTTCGAGGACAAATCCTCTATCCCGGCATGAGGTCTATTATGTGCGCTTTCGCCCCCACTACCACGAGGAAAGTGTGTAATGTTAACAATCGCGATATCATTCTGTCTCAAGGCAATAACAGCTTGGGCATTTGCTTGTCAGATCTCTTCCAGGAGGGAACGAATTTGGAAGACTATTGAGGCATTCATGAATCTACAAGAAGCTAGCCGTATGTACTTCTTGTGAGGAAACCAGAAACATAAGCAGGGCCTTCGTGATCACTGACAGGAGAGCCATATAAAAGCTTTGTACCCTTGCCGGGTACAATGTATCAAATCCTCGACTGAACTTATCTACCACAAGCATCAGCCATCTGCAGATATCTAGTCATTCCTTGACTCCCAAATCTACAGTATACCTATCCATGACAAGCCAGGATCAGCGGGGTATTCAGCGCCGACTATCACTTTACCCTCAAATATGGTAGTTTTCAATAGTACTTCAAAAGTACATTTCCCAGCAACAAAACTCCATAAAAAACAGTTTGAATATTAATTCCTCATATTCCAGTGGTTTTGCTCTTTTTATACTGTTCAGCCTTTTGTGCAAGAAATAACTAAGTTGAAATTAACAAATACAAGCAATGAGTGAAGGGGACTTAAAACTGAGGTTCGAAATACTTTGATGTAAATGTCATATTCATTTTTTTCAAAGTAGTGTTGAGCCTTTCATGTGCACCAAATGAGTCAATTTAAGATGAAAAAAATAATTCAAGTCTTTTAGTACACAAAACAATTAATTTCATAATGGACAAATCAACATTGAGTCAATTTGACATAAAAATTGAGATGAGAAAAGTTTGGGTGTAAATCACATTTTATTCAAGTCTTTCCCCTCAATACCGCCAAGCCTTTTTGTACACAAAATAATTAAGCTCAAATGAAAAGGTAACCAGAACTGAGTCAAGCAGATATAAACAGTGAGGTGTGAAAGGTTTGATGTAAATAAAACGTATACAAGTGTTTTCCCTTTCCACTGTTAAGCCTTTCATATATCCACAGAAGAAGCAAGTTAAAAAAAAAAACCTATTTGTGAATAAAAGGTAAAGAAATCTGTGATGGAATAAATGTATTAGGTCAAGCATATTCTTGCTGTCCATTATATGCTGCCGAAATGCATGTTTCAGTTTTGACCCAATATTTTGGTTTAAGTACACACAACAACGCTGGGTAACGTTGGATCAGCAGTGGCGTCAAGAGAATGGGTACTCATTTGTTAGGTACAGTTTTGACACAATGAAATAGGGCATGAAATTTGACGCCATTATTGGGTAAACGCTTTGCTCCGATACTGAGTAAAACTTGACGCAACCCGTGTTGCGTAGCGTTTTACCCTGCAAACGACCGTTTCCCTTTTTTCCACCACAAGGAGTAAGATTTTACGCAACGTTGGGTATTTATTTTTTTTTTTTTAGTATGTATCTGGTCGCCCTGCTTTTTAACTGGTACCTTCCTTGGGGGAAATATGGTCAATGTTGTCATTGCCGAACACAATTACGTATCATTCGCAGCATCAGCAAGAGCAACTGCGCATATTTCCGATATTTCAGTGAGTATACTCTGTATAGGGTACACCACAAACGTCAAATATCTACAGGAAAGGTCAAATAGTGACATTGCGACGGGTGGCAATAAAAAGTAATGCGTGATGTTTATCAAGAGAACCCCTGCTTATGACTGAATTAAAGATAAGATTAAATACTACGCCTGTAGAACAGAATAGGCAATGTAGTGATATTATATAAAAACCATTTTAGTTTGCAGAGGTTTCCACGTTCACTAAACAAATCATATCAATTAGCTTAATTAAGATAAGATCAGATCAGGTTCCGAGGCGCGTGATCATGCAAAAACATGCTTGAAGATCGCACGGTCGCTCGTAGGATGTGGTAAAAGTTGCATCTTCAATACCCACTCACCCTACCACCACAGCACCCACCCATCCCCACCCATCTGTACCTCACCTGTATATAAAATGAATAAATAAGTAAATAACTTTACTTCTCTTCCCTTCAATGTAAGTTAAATTATGTTAAATGCGTAAAACGCTAAAATGATTCCACGTGAACGGAAAGGAGAGTATTGAAGGAAGACATATCACCAAACAAATGTGTGCCAAACGGAAGAAAATATTGCCCAAACTCTTTGTATGTATCTGCAAACTATGTTTGACTGTCCAAGCGCTACAATAGTTCACCAAGAAAGCGAAATAGAACAACGACATCAGTAATGCAACGAAAAGCGTGTTCAAAAATCAACAGGAATTTATTCTTAAGGAATTTGAGTGAGAAATCCTGTTTATTGTGTAATCCTTCTGTAGTGACGTACTAATTTTGAATATCTTTACGTCTCCTTTATCAGGTTGCAATGAACACGAAAGACCTGCATATTCGTCAAGAGAATCGAACATTTTTATAACGATTTTGTTAGTTTTAGGGGATACGTTTGTAGCACGGTTTCATAAGAATTCCAAAACAACAATGCTTTCATGAACAACTGTACCACTAAAGCCCCAGGTATAGCCAAAATGATTCTGAGATGCGTGGCCATGAAAAGACGTTTGAAGATCGTACGGTCCCTTGTATAATGTGCTCCATCTTCTAAATATTTTATCGCCCGATGGATCGTTAGACAGTTTTTGACCTCATTTTCCAAGACACCCACCCA